CAAAGGGAGAAAAAGTTCAGGATAAACATATTTCTTGAAGACAGCAAGTGTGTTTTGAAGCCAGCTACGCATGGGGATGAGTATTGTAACTGTACTGAGCTGATCAGCAGTGGTACAGAAGCTTGCAAAATGCTAGGAGATAGAGGTATGTCTGGATGAATAACTGAGCTTCCGTACAGGGTAACATAACTGAGAGACAGAGCAAAACTTTATCCCTGAATCCCACTGTACTGTGGCAGCTGTGTATGAGTTGGTGAGCTGTCCACTGAAAGGCGAGGCAGAAAGAGGCTTTCTTGAGGGTAGTCGTGTTTAGCCTCTCTTCAGTAGTAACAAGTAATTGTAAGGTTTGACTTTTGTGTTAGTAACTTCTGAAAGTTAAGACAGTGACTTAGATTGATAGCATTGTTCAACTGTGCCCCCCAAAAGCCAGATGCTCACAGGACAGTTGGGAGATTTTGGCTTGACTCTAACACGCAACTTAAGTCTAAATTTTATTATTTCTAAGATGGTTCAGGTCTGACTCTTGACTCAAACCCTCTTGAAGTTTCAGGAAGGACTCTTCAGCAGACCAGAATGTAGCATCTGGGTCTTTAAGATGTAGATTAAAACCTTGTTAATCCACATTTCAAAGTGTCTGGCTGAGGTCAGAGATGAAATGCTCATTCAGTATTCCTCTCACTCAATATTCCTGTAAGCATACAACTGGAACACTGCCTGAAATGTTTTTGGTTTGGGTTTTTTTTGTTCTTGTTTTGATATTTTCTGTTGGTTTTTTTTTCTTTCTTTAGTCATTGCTTTGTTCTGATGGGACTGAATCCTCATATATTATACCTAAATTTAACTCTATTTAGTTAAAAAGCAAACCAAAGTGCTCGGCAGGATGAAATCAGTAGGAGAGTATCTTTTCAGAGGTTTTGTACAAATTGATCAGACTAATTTCCTAAAACATACGTGGGTTAGATGGATATGATTTTGTGTTCAAGTCTTACACAGTTTCAGGAAGAAGGCCGGCAAGTACTTTGTAACTCAAAATAACAGTTGCAAAAAGACTGGCTTTTTTTTTTTTCCCCCTCCTGAAATGAGTGATGTGTCCTGGTGCAGTCTAAACTTACTCAAGAACATAAACAAATGCCCCCGTATGAGCAAAAAAGAATTTACCCAGTGCACAGTTATTTACAAAAAAAAAGCTGTTGTGTTTCAAACATACGAAAACAGTAACTTTTTTCTTTTTTTTCTCTGTTGTTACCAAAGTAAGTACTTTACAGTTCAGTGTGTTGCATAGTTGTGCATGTCATACATATTTCTTGCCAGATTTCCATTTGAAGAGGGAATTGCCAGTGGTTTTATTCCTTAACTTTTGTCCCCTAGTGGTATGTAAATGAAAGTTTAAAAAAGCTGTGGAATAGTCTTAAGAGTGTAAAAGAATGCTTGTAGTCTCTCTACATCATCTTTTTTACTACAGAAGTCTTTTAGCTTACGCAAGTGGCATGCTCGTGGATCAGAATAGAAAAGAAACAAACTTGGTGAACTCACCAAGAGCTACTTAGTCTGTTTTTACTTTTTCCTCACAAAGAGTTAGTGCAGTAAGTGTTGCTATGATGGTTGAATGCTACAGCTGCTGTCTGGGAGGCATACCAGATAGTGAAGAATACTTGAGCTTTGGCAGGACTGCAGGAAACATCCTCTGTCAGGTCTGTGGCCAAATACGGGTGAAGTTTTGTGGTCATGATCTGAGGACGCCTCTGGTATTCCCTCTGTGGCTCATGTCCTATATTCCTTTCATACAGTTAAGCAGCTGGAAGTTGAAACTAAAGGTCCAGAATTGCATGAAGATGGAGGATGGACTGTTAATGATGAGCCACTTACCTTTTTTCCAGGACAGTAACTTTTAATCCCTGTCTTTTGCAGATCCCAAAGAAAATTCTCTGTACTCCTGTTACTGTTGCACTAAACTGTATCATCATTTGAATTATACATTATGAAGCCATGCAGCGTAATTGTATATTATGTAGAAAAAATTGCACATGCAGCATGAAACCAGAGCCAAATGGATAAGTGCCTCACTTGCTTGGAAAGGGTGGTGTTGTGGTATATTTAAGGGTGTGTGTCCTCATAGGGAGCTAGGCTGATACCAGTCAGTGAAAAGCAGCAGGTCAGTTCTAGAGGATCTCTTATTGACACTGAACTTGGAACTAAGAGAACTTCAGCAAGTGTTTCAGAAAATGATCCAGAGTCTTGATTTGAATATAGTTTGTGAAAAATATAGTTTGTGGAACTAAGTATTGCATGGAAGAGATACCATATTAGCACATTTTTTAAAAACTTAATAGAAAAGGATTTCAGTACTAAAGTTATTTCAACGTGTACAATATTAGGAAATCTTCCTGGTGGCTGTCTTGAAAAGTACAAGTCATGGTCAAATCCAGGTTGCAAGGGTATTCTTGCATTTGCAGGCAGGACCTTAGCATGAACAGGAGTTTAGTGCCAGAAGAGCACCACAACCGCTCCCTGGTGTCTAATTACTAGTATAAAACTTCATTGCTGCTGGTATGGTAAGTGGGTGTGATTTCTTCATCATGTTCTTCCTAGGCAGAAAAAGGACTTTCCAGCCAAATTTATATAGACTGCACTTACCTGGTCTGATTGCTTTGTTGGTTAGTCCTAGCTGCAGAGATGGAAAGTTTTTTTTACATCACTTTGTTTATAACCATCTTTTTTTTTCCCCCATAACACCACCCTTTGGCCTAACAATGGCTGAAAGCCTAAAATGTGTAGAGCACTCCCAGGTTCTCAGAGGTCTTGTTCATATTGCATCATCCCTGCTGTCAGTCACTGTGTATGCATTCTACCTGTTTGGGGGTGAGGGGAGCCCTCCCATTCTGTGCTTATGTCAGCACATTGCACTCTGGGATCCTGGCCTATGGCTGTATTCTCGATGTTGCTAACGTTCTCTGCTGTACGGAGTTAGTGAGTTTTTTGTGAATGGAAGATGCTCAAGTGAGCCTGTTTTCTTGAATGTGTAGCTTGGTTTACATGAATTAAGGAAATGGATCTGCCTCTTAAAATATAATGAAATAGGATATTACTTTATAAATAATGCTTTGGTCTTACATGAATAAAGGACCCAGGGAATTACAGACCAGTCAGTCCCACCTCTGTGCCTGGCAAAATCTTGGAGCAGATTCTCCTGGAAGGCATGCTAAGGCACACGAAAAACAACAAGGTGCTTGGTGACAGCCAGCATGGCTTCACTAAGGGGAAATGCTGCCTAACCAATTTGGTGGCCTTCTATGATGGGGCTACAGAACTGATGGACGGGGGTAGAGCAGTTGATGACATCTACCTGGACTTGTATAAAGCGTTCGACACTGTTGCACATGACATCCTTGTCTCTAAATTGGAGAGACATCAGTTTGATGGATGGACCACTTGGTGGATAAAGAACTGGCTGGATGGCTGTATTCAAACAGTTGTGGTCAGTGGCTCAATGTCCAGCTGGAGACCTGTAACGAGTGGTGTCCCTCAGGGATTGGTGTTGGGACCGGTTCAATATCTTCATCACTGACATGGACAGTGGGATTGAGTGCGTCCTCAGCAAGTTTGCCGACGACACCAAGCTGTGTGGTTCGGTTGATAGGCTGGAGGGAAGGAATGCCATCCAGAGGGACCTTGACACACTTGTGAGGTGGGCTGATGCCAACCTCATGAAGTTTAACCATGCCAAGTGCAAGGTCCTACACGTGGGTGGGAGCAATCCCAGGCACAGCTACAGGTTGGGCAAAGAAGAGATTCAGAGCAGCCCTGCGGAGAAGGACTTGGGGGTGTTGGTCGATGAGAAAATGAACATGAGCTGGCTTCAGTGTGCACTTGCAGCCCAGAAAGCCAACCGTATCCTGGGCTGCAGCAAAAGGAGCGTGACCAGCAGGTCGAAGGAGGTGATCCTGCCCCTCTACTCTGAGGGCTCTCGTGAGACCTCACTTGGAGTATTGTGTGCAGTTCTGGTGTCCTCAACATAAAAAGAACATGGAACTGTTGGAACAAGTCCAGAGAAGGGCCATAAGGATGACTGGGGGACTGGAGTACCTCCCGTATGAAGACAGGCTGAGAAAGTTAGGGCTGTTCAGCCTGGAGAAGAGAAGGCTGCGTGGAGACCTCATAGCAGCCTTCCAGTATCTGAAGGGGGCCTATAGGAATGCTGGGGAGGGACTCTTCATTAGGGACTGTAGTGATAGGACAAGGGGTAATGGGTTGAAACTTAAACAGGGGAAGTTTAGATTGGATATAAAGAGGAAATTCTTTCCTGTTAGGGTGGTGAGGCACTGGAATAGGTTGCCCAGGGAGGTTGTGAATGCTCCATCCCTGGCAGTGTTCAAGGCCAGACCGGACGAGGCCTTGGGTGATATGGTTTAGTGCGAGGTGTTCCTGCCCATGGCAGGGGGGTTAGAACTAGATGATCTGAAAGGCCTTTCCAACCCTAACTGTTCTATGATTCTATGATTCTATGATTCTAAATTGATCTGCCTCTTAAAATATGCTAAAATAGGGTATCACTTTATAAATAATACTTTGTTCTTTACCATGCCTCCCCAGATGTGTAGTATCCTGCAATGTGACATTGCCACTCGCCCATATTGTCAACCTTCCCCCCATCTTAATTTGTGAACAACAAAGGCAGAATCTGCTGCCTTGGTGGGGTGAAGGATTTCTGTACTATGAGTACTTTTATTCCTACTTGAAGAGGTGCTTGGTCTATGGCACTTGCTGCCCCCACAGGTTTGTACTTCTGCTTTATGAAGACGGATTCCTTCATGACAAGCACGCTGCAGGAGATGGTAATTGGGAGAAGTATTCAACCCTTGCATGGGTTCAGACGGGACAGTCCAGTGGGAGGTGGCTGTCTGGTCTGACTGCAAGAAGCCCTCTGCACTAGCAAGTCTTTGGCTGGGCTATGTGATGTTACGAGGGTGCTGCTGGCAGAGATTTGCATAGTATTTGCAGCTATAAACTGTGTGGGTGATGGCTGTTTCTAAATATTTTAATGAAATCTTGAAAGCCAAGACTTTGGAATGAAACACAGCTTGCCTGTTGAGGAGATACCTTTAGTGTGAGGAAAGGTATCTGATGTGAAGTAGATGGTGTTGAGAAATTGCTTCTGTAGTCACTGTCATTTTGGATGGCAGCTTAGGAGTATACTTTGATAGGCCTTGCAAATGTTAAATAGACATGTCTTTTAACCATCATAATCTGTGTCCTCAGACCATGTTGAGTTTTGGAGCACAGTATGTAAATGAACAAATGCCTTTTTTGTGTTTTGGTCTTGAATCCTTTCTCCACCAGATTTTCATTAATGTCAAGGGAAGTAGGTCTCTTCAAAGAAGGGACCTGTCCCAAAGGAGTGTTCTTTCCCAGTTGTTTTCTGCATCTGCTTTAGGGAATGTTGCTGGGAATTACTTTCTCTTGTGCTTGGGATATGTGGGGGAAGGTGAGGAAACTGGGACTGGCGAATTCATCCTGTTCCATTGTGAATCAGCAGTAGAGCCTTTCCGTAAGTACCTAGTTATAGTGCCACAGCTGGCCCTCAGCTCTGGCAGCTCCTTCTGGAGAGAACCAAGTGGTAACTGCAGTGAGAGCTCCTGACAATTGCCAATAAAGTGTTTTCAGCCTTTAAATAGAGAGACATGTTTTAAATTGTTGGTAAGCAGGAGAAATATGTTTTTGTTGAACTTTCACATATTAAATTAAAGTCCCTAACAGTAGTTCGAATTCTAAGCCTTTTCACCTTCCTATAACCAGTTTTCGATCATATTCAGTTGTTTTTGTAATGGAGAATCAAGAGAAAAAAATGAATTTTAAAAGGATTTGCAGCTTTGGGCTCTCTTTTCACTACATGAAATGGGTTCTAACTTTTAGCTTGGTTTTGAATTCCAGCTTCCAGACAATAGTTACTGCTCAGTGAATTGAATGCCACAAAGCTTGATTTACTCAGTACTTACACTGCTTTTTACATGCTAGGCTTGACAGCCACTTAGAGGAAAGGTCACTTGTCAGGACATCCTGTTCCTCAGTTGCTTGTTCTTGTCAGCTTCCTGAATTGCAACAGTTGAGTATTTGTAAACTCCCAAGAAAATTCCTCTGGGATTAGATTTAAGAGGTAATTTAATGATGTGACTAGCTACTAGTTTTACATTGTTTAAAGTTTTATGCTGTTACTAGGTTTTAATGGTACTAAACAAGTTGATGCTCTGCAAAACCAGCTGATCTTTGGCAGAAACTGAGACCTCTAATTTGTTGATCTGGGACTTCCCTGGATGACACAGTGTTTCTATAACTGTCTCAGGCAGCCCATGAATATTTGAGGTTTATTTATTTTCTGTCATTTTGAAACTGTTTTATTTTTTTCCCTAGATAAGCAACGTCTTGTTTTTTGTTTTACCGCCCATATGTATGTGCTTGTTCCGTCAATATGCAACCTGTTTCAACAGTGGAATATATTTAATATGGACTCTGCTAGTTGTGGTTGGTAAGTTGCTTAGTCTCCATTTGCCTGTTCATGCATGAAATGAGAGAGGAAATCAGTTTTTTCTGCTTGTGCTTGATTGTTTTGTGAAACAAAGCAATCTTGACAACTGTGGAGTATTTTGGTTATACTTGCTTGGAGCTGAAGCAACCTAGTGTCTGAGCCGAAAATGCTTTTTGCAATTTGAGGTTGATGGACTTAGGCATTAGTTCTGTGCCCTTCCTATCCTTCTTTTGCATAACTTCTTTTGTTTATATCTGGGCTTAATCTTGTCACTGGGCCAGGACACTCTACAAGCAGTGTTGATGCTCTTTCCTCTGTTGTTGCTTTAATGAGAGCTGAAAATGCTCGTGCTAGTGATACCAGCAAAACAGAGGAGGGTAACGGGTTTTGCGTGAAGTGAAAAGGCCCAAAGGCTTAGCTGTTTTGTAGATGTGAGATTCTTTTCATGCCTAGAGGCACTGGCAACTTACAAACTTTCACATCAGAGCCATGTAGGGGGCAGTGTGACATTTTTTGCCTCTAAACCTGTATCATGGAGTAGTCATCAGATGCTACTTTTGATCTTTGTCTTCTCCATTCTCCTATTGAGAAAATTCAGAAGCAGCATTTGGCTTTTATTTCTTAATTGGTTTACATTTAACTTTACTACTGGATGCTTCTTCACTACTTTTTTAGTAGAAGCTGGCATCTTTAGCTGCTGCTTTTCTAAAGGATCTGCTTCTTTGTTAATGAGGTGGTGATGATTTGGATTGCCTTCTTTGGAAAGTTGGCATTTGTGTTTTGGTTGTTTGGTTTTATTCTTTTTTTTTTTTTTTAAATCTTTTCTAGGCCAAATGGTATCTATCATTTGCTATGAAATTCTGAACATGCACAGCCTGTTTTGGTCTCTATAGTACTGCAGCTATTCATAATGCCTTTTTTATTGATTCTTCCAGGAATTGGATCTGTTTACTTTCACGCCACCCTCAGTTTCCTGGGCCAGATGCTGGATGAGCTGGCTATTCTCTGGGTCCTGATGTGTGCTCTTGCCATGTGGTTCCCTAGGAGATACCTGCCTAAAGTTTTTCGGAATGACAGGTAATCGTACAATCATACATGTACATTTTCATGTTTGTTGAAACTTCTTATGCTGATACCTAAATCTGCACATAATGGCACTGAGTTCTCATCCAGCCTTAGTGCTGCTGCCACTACTTTTTCTCACTCCATTCTCTTCCTATTGCTTGTAGCCTGGAGAAGAGAAGGCTGGGTGGAGACCTCATAGCAGCCTTCCAGGATGCTGGAGAGGGGCTCTTCATTAGGAAGTGTAGCAAGAGGACAAGGGGTAACGGGTTCAGACTTAAACAGGAGAAGTTTAGGTTAGATATAAGGAAGAAATTCTTTACTGTGAGGATGGTGATGCACTGGAATGGGTTGCCCAAGCATGTTGTGAATGCTCCATCCCTGGCAGTGTTCAAGGCCAGGTTGGATGAAGTCTTGGGTAACATGGTCTAATGTGAGGTGTCCCTGTCCATGGCATTTTTTTCAGAATTCCCAAGTCTGCAGTTGCTGATGGTTTATGCCCTGTAACTTCAGATCTTAGGATGAGGTGAGTTGCCTCTGGAAGTGCTTGTTGATTCTAGGGAGATCTTCACATGAGTAGCTTACATAAATTGCAGCTAAAGTAAAGTAAGAGAAACCCTTTTACCTTCTACCTTTTGTGTAGCCTAAGTGTACATGAAAGTGGACCTATGGAAGTCAGCTGTATTTTCATCAGAATAATTAAGGCAGTGGTAAAGGATGGTGTTTAAGTATTCAAAGGCTAGGTGTTTGTTTATAAGCCTGTTATGAACATAATTTTAATAATTGTGGGTTTAGTATTTAGAATGTAGTAATTAGAAATTTTCTCCCCCCAAAAATCCTGTTCAGGAGCCGATTTAAAGCTGCCGTAGGTGTCCTGTCTGGAGTTACTACCTGCCTTGCCTTCATTAAGCCTGCCATCAACAGCATCTCACTAATGACTCTGGGTGTTCCCTGCACAGCTTTGCTCGTTGCTGAGTTGAAGAGGTGAGTACATTTCTCCTGTATGCAGTGTTGTCTTCTGAGATCCTTAGGCCACTGTGTGATAATACACTAGATCTGACTTTAGTGCTTGATCTGCTTCTGCAGATCAAAAATGCTTCTACCATGGGTAAGTGCAGATCTGGTATAAACTTGCTCTGCCAGTTCAAGACATTTTTAACACGGATTTTTCCTTTTTTTCCCTGGGCCAAATACTAGGTCAGCTATTGGCTGACTTCTTGTGACAAAATGTCTTGCTGTAACCTGATCTAACTCAAATTTGTTTGTTTATTGTGGAATCAGGGCAAGGGATTCACTCTACTGAGCATTTTTGCTGTATAGTCTATGTAGGGGTGAGGTGATTGCATGATCACAGTCTAGATACTAGAAGGAATGTCGATCAAGGCCCAAGCATGCACGGAAAATGTTCTAGTTCTCAAATTGTACTGTGACTTTTACACCAGTTTGTCTTCTGACATGTATTATATGATGGAGCCAGACCAACAAAGATAAGGTTAATCACTAGATTGTAGAGGATAACTGTCAATCATGGTCTTAGAAACTATAAAACCAGAATGCAAATAGAGAAGAACCTGAGACAGGTCTTAGGATTTTAGTGTTACCATGGTAGCAATACCAGCAGTTGTACAGTTACTTCTTTTCTTGAATCTTTTCACTGGGTGCACAAACCACCAGACAAGTATGGGTATATGAACTTGTCTTTTCCCCTTTTCTCCAGTGTCTGAGAAGGATTTTACAACTTACATTGCCTCTTAGATATTGCTTATGTCCATCAAAAGAAACAAATAGGACTAAATATCTGCATTCTGACTGCTCCTATTAGAAAAGAGATTCTCCTGTTTGCTATCTTACCCTATTGTACCACTGCTTTCCATACAGTGTATTTTCATCAGTGTTTTGTAAAGCTGCTTGTGAGTCTTTTCTCATTAGATAACTTGCTGAGCAGTATTTATTTCTGTCAAAGAAGCGTGGGAGACAGCACACAAGTTAATTGTAGACAAGTAGTTGAAGAATTTTGGTGGAGACGTTTCATTTTGACGTGAGCGCTGAGGAACTACTAACAAAGCAAATGGAGATCTATATATGGCACTGAATAATATATGTGAACTCTATACATATCAGTTTTCCAGGCATGAGCTCCTAAGGAAATTGGATGGTTAGTGTGCTTCAAATTAATATTGCTTTAAATCCAGGAATAGGTATGCCTACAGATTTTTGCGTTTTTAAACTCCCTCTGAAAAAAGTTTTTATCTTACCAAAATGTGCAGTTTTCCTGTCTGTTGTTTGAAAAAGAATTAAAAACACAGATAAGTCTTCTTCTGAATGGGCGGTTAAAAAGGGACCTAAAGTGACATATGTCCTCTTAATTGTGTACTGGATGATGTAATACCTTTTTTTTCTTTTTTTTTTTTTTTTACTAATTTCTAAGTATAAAAGGGAAATAAGTAAGACTTTTATTTTAAGCTATATTGATCCCTAGGAGATTTAAGTAAGATATATTATTGTAAACCTGGAAGAGAGAAGTTGTGGTGTATCATGACACGGACTCACGTTGATGAGGAGACTCAAATCCAACTTTATTACACTCAAGCCCTTCTTATCCCCTTGTTCGGTACTTTCGCAACCTGCACAAGCATGCCATGTTCAATCTCATTGGCCCCTGTAAAAATCCCCAGGTAAATAGCCCAATCACAGTGCTGAGGACACACTATAACAGTTTCACCCCACTGTCTCAGACCCTCTGGTCTGGCCTCAACTGAGACTCCCTGCCACAACAACATCCTGGCCTAACCCCCCAAGGCTTGCTTGTTTACCTTTGCTGCCTTTCAGTATTCCAATTTACCGCCCCAGGGCTTGTGAAACATCAAGGCCTCAGAGCTCATTCCCAGACTGTTTTTCATACAAATCTTATTGCCTTCACTCCCCACAAGATGTCATCCATTTTGGTACTAGAAAAAATAATACAAGCATTATTTAAAATGCCTGCAATTCTTCCCTTCTCTACTAGCACAGTCATTAGGGAGCTGCACATTTGAGACCTGGCAATCTGCAGCAGAAGTTTATCTGTGAAACTGGTATTTGGGGAAGGAAGAGAAAAGCCTCCGGAGAAGTTTCTTCTGTTCTGTGCTGTTTGTGGTGTGTTAGGCCAAAACTCCCTGTTTTTATTCCTGTTGTAGCCTGGTGTCAGTCTTGTACAGAATTCTGGTGAATCAGAACAACTGTGTTTTCAAATGAGAATTTTCCATACCTCACTTGTCCTTGATGAGGAGATAGTATTTTCACAAAAGAGTGTTATGTTCTCTACCAACACAAAAGGGTTGGTAGGGTAGAGTTTATGCTAGGAAGTGTGATCAAAAGAAAAAAAGGTAGTTAAGTGCATTACTTGTGCTTGAAAGACAAAGAAATGGTAAAACTGTATTCTCATTTCTGTCCAAACAAATCCCTTAATGTGTTTCATAAAGAGACCCCCATAAAAGCTCTCCTAGAGGATGGTGTCAGGGACGAAGCGGATATGGATCCTTTGGTTTGCTGGTTCAAGCCAAACCAGTGAGATTAAAATGTCATCAAATTAGTATGATGAGTTACTCAGTGAGTTACCATCAGGCATCTAATGTGTAGATGTGCAGCTAGAGGCTAGAATATTGTTGCTTAGCTGGCATCAGCCCTGAGTATTGAAGGTTTACTCTGTCCATCCATACTTGATTCTCCTACTAGAAACCTGTCTGTGGGGAAGCCCTGCTTCATTGTTGCCGATTGCTTACTGCTCTTTTATTCCCTTGACTAAAAGATTAAACTAGTTAAAAATGTAAAATATTCTTTAAGGTATAAATGGAGATAACTGTGTCAAAATGAATCAGGCAGTTAATTGACATCCAGCAACTTGCATGATTTGAAGAAAAGCTGCTGTGTTTTGTTGGGGGTGCCATGACATTGGAAGCTAAAGCTACTGAAATCATGTACCAGTGCAGTCCCTCAGACAGCAAATAGCTAGAACATATTAGTGTTTGCAGAAACTATGGTATTAAAATAACTGCTGTTTGTGTTAAACCAAAAAGACCATGCATTGTATAGGCAAAAGTTGGAAGTGCAAGTGCAAGTGCAAGCTTCTTTCAGACCAGAGTAGGATAGGAGCATGTCATAAATCTGTGCACAGCGACATAAAGAGCTCTTTTAAACCCTTAGCTGACAGGTTCTGTGTCAGTGGTAGTTTGAACGATCAGTGTCTGTGTCTATTGAGAAATAAAATAAATGGGTTGGGTCCGTTTCTCTTGCCAGCATCCAGGTGGTATTCATATGTCCTCATTGCAGGAAAAGCAGCAGCAGGTAGGAAGCTTTGAAGTCCTCTGTCTCCTCTGCATGCTTGTCCTTAGCCCATCCGAAACATGGTTACTGCAGGAACTGAAGGCTTTAGAATGGATGAGAACCTGAGAGTTTGCACAGACCATCAGGTTGTGCTGTCCTCATTGTGCTTGACTCTTTCTGCCTTAGAGTTATCTTGCAGTACACCCTGCAACATCCTGTCTGAAGTTTATAAAAATAAACTAGTACCTGATGGTGGTAGTGAACAAACCTGTCATTAAAATTTGTACCATTTCTATGGCTGATCTTGCACTGGCAAAGTTTCTTCATGTAAGCTTTCAGTTTTCCTTTGCGGCCGTGAACCCTAGGAAATATGAAGGTTAATTTTCCTCTCTTGGTGTTCAAACTAGTCCAGTATTGTCAGGCATGGTCAATTACGAAGAAGCTGGATGTTTGAGGCCAAGTGTCATATCTTAAATGGAATGCAGTTGCACATGTTTGTTTATGTCCTTCACAAAAGTCCAGGAAAACCCCTGTGTTCTCAATACACACACCCTTTCCTCTATGAGAATACACAAGTATCTAGTACAGCAGTCCAGTTTTATCTGTCAAAAGTGCAAAATTGACCCATCCAGTTGGGTCAGTTATTGTTCTTTTGAACAGTTGTGCATCTCACTGAATATAAATCTGCCTTAGTATTAATGGGTGAGAGTTAAGCTCTGTATACATAATACAGCAGTGGTTTTTGACCAATAACAATTTCCCCCATCTTTTATGAAGGGATCCATGCTCTCTGGCTATTTGGTAGAAGCACGAATCCTTCAAAATGTGGAGGATTTACCAGTATAGTTTTACTTACAAAACCATGCCAAGTCTTCATTGTATTTCTTACTGGGATGTCTCATAAAAGAGCATAAGGAAGAACTTGTATAGCTGAGCTCTGGAACTTGATATGCAACTCAAAAATCTCCTTACTCTTTCCTTTCTTTGTGATTCTTGTAGCCTTTTTAAACTTAAAAACACTATTTCAGAGGAAATAAGCCTTTTCACAGTGTGCAGCATAGACAATCTTGTAGCCATTTGGGCAAGCCCTGTCTTCTCTGACTATGTCTTGTGGCTTGCCAAGTGAATTGGAGGGTTCAGGCCTAAGAAAAAAAGCCATTTTGGTTTATATGTTATGTGCAGTATTAATTTTTGTGGCAGTCATATAGGTGTGTTTATTATGAAAACAACTATTGTGGTATCTTTCTTGTGGAGAGGATTACAGTTTAACTGGTATTTGAAGTACTCTTTTGAATAATAAAGATAAGTGTGATGATTTTGAATGTGACATCTTTAAGGATGGCTGAAAAAAGAAGTACAAGATCCTGAAATCAACCTGTGCAAAGGACACTAGAGAAAATCCTCTATCAACAAGACTAGGCAGTTGGTAGCTTTTCCGTTGTTAATCAAGTAGCTATAAAGGTGCCATCTGTTCAGCTTTAGGAGTTTCTTAATCCCAAATATCTGTTAAAATGGCAACTGAAAGAGCATTTCAAGAGTGAAAAAAAATATATTCTATAGGGAGAACTGTGTTAATCCTTTAGCTTGCAATACAACAGTGCCAGGTATACTGCTGCTCCAGCAATATATTCAGAAAAGTGTTCCTGGACAGAGCACTCTGTGTACATTTTTAATTTTTCTGG